ATACTGAATACAATATTTAAACATCTTCATGTGGCAGAACAATCACTTATCAAAATCTACTGCAAACGTTTATTAAATGGTGCCTAAGCGGAACTCAGAAATGACAATGGTAAGACAGAATTACTAATGTGGAGCTTGGGAGAGAACTAGCAAATTCTAGATAGCATGAAGTGAGGAACATACTGATGCTGGATATGACAAATAGAGAGAGAGAAATAAAGGGAGGGAGAATGAGAGAACCACAGTATAAAAGAGATACGCGACAATCTAATGTCACAAAAATTCACCCATACTGAACTACATGTTACATTACAACCCTGTTATAGTGGCCAAATATAACTGCTATATGGCTGAACCGTGTTTCCAGGATCTGTACCTTGGCCCACACCCTTGTTAATCCTGCAGAATGCAAATATGGAGGGATAAAACTTGAAACAGAATATACAAGTAGGAATTAACTAGAGAGATTTGGGGCAGAGTGGAAGGATCTGCAGGTGATGGCAGTTAACAGAATAACCCTGCATGAGTTGACTGAGGGTGTGTGCTCCAACCGTGGACAAAGGACAGCAGGAGAAGGCACAAAGAGTTGAATGCCATATTGCATTTTCCTGTCTAACTGTTCTCTGTCTTCAGTTTCTTATTGAGGTAGATCTTCTCCAGGCCGATCCAAGGATATTCAAAAGACACCATCAGGGTGAAGGCAGTCATGTTAGTTAGGACTAAGATTTCACAGAATGTGACAACAGTGCTGGATTCCTTGATGTAGTAGAACCACCCCTGATTTGAAAGTATATTTACAGAAGGTACAACAAACGGCGACCAGGACAAGATGCTGTTGATGAAGTCTCCATAACCCGAGGCACAGGCAGCGATGACCCAGGTTTCACAGGCCAACCTGGCCACAGCTTTGTAAAATGTGGCCGTCGCAACACTGCTGACATTTTCGACACTGGTGTCAACAGAGGCAGTAAACAGGTGCCAAAGTGATGACCATTGCGACCATCAAACCGCGACACAGCTACATCCCATCTCACTTTTACCCTGCCTCCAGTGACTGACAGACAGTAGCCAGCCGAGAACGCTATAAATGAGTATAATGCAGTCAGAAACCTTCTTGAAACAGATGCGGATGGAGAAAAATTATATTCATCCTGTTTATTTATTTAGTTTGCAGTATTTTCATAGAAGAGTGCTTTCATAGAAGATGCCAGTCTTATACATCATATTCTTTGTCCTGATAGACTCTGGCTTGTCTCTCAGAGGTTTAATAAAATATCTAGCCTGAACTCTAGTTGACAATTGCTTGGGCATGGGACCCTCATCATCATCATCATCCTGTAACACTGCATGTTGTTAGGTCACCAGTTTCTGTTGACTGTCTGATCAGCTCTCTTCGCCTATGATGGTCAGATGTGATTTACTTCATGGTTGCATGCCTGAGGCCTGTCCAGTCAGTCGGGTTCTGTAATCAGGTATTTCTTGGTCTGCCTCTTCTTCTTTTTCCCTCTACTGAGCACTACAGTATTGTTTCTGAGAGGACATTAGATCTTTTTACTTGTCCATACCATTGTAGTTGGAGCCTTCTCACTGTAGTTAAAAGAGGTTCACAGTGTGTGCTATATGATTATATGGCAAACCTCTTCGTTTGTAATGTGGTCTCTGTATGATATGCCAAGAATTGTTCTGACACATTGTATTTCCAATGCTTGTATCTTCCTTTTGAGTTCAGCTGTTGTCCACGTTTCACAGGGGTATGTAAAAGTACTAATAGTAGTGCTGTGAGCAATCTATTCTTAGTTTTACATGAAAGGTAAAATGGCCCTTATACCTCAGCAAAAAAATCATCCTGTAATCACTAGCAGTGGTTAAAAATGCAGTAATGATAGTCTTCTTATATATTTCTGTTTTTAGTTTTGAACATTCTGGTTGTCTTAACATTTGATATATGAATAAATCTTAAATATAACTAGGAATTTAAACAAAAGAAGCACACAGATATTTGTGAATGTTTATCAGGGGCCTGTCCACCCCTTACTAATTCTTCTGCCTCATATATTGTTATTTCCAGGATGTCCGCATATATCCTGCATCCACCTTCATGCTAGTCCACTCCTGCATCCACCTTCATGCTAGTCCACTCCTGCATCCACCTTCATGCTAGTCCACTCTTTCATCTACCTTCATGCTAGTCCACTCTTGCATCCACCTTCATGCTAGTCCACTCTTGCATCTACCTTCATGCTAGTCCACTCTTGCATCCACCTTCATGCTAGTCCACTCTTGCATCCACCTTCATGCTAGTCCACTCCTGCAGCCACCTTCATGCTAGTCCACTCTTTCATCTACCTTCATGCTAGTCCACTCTTGCATCTACCTTCATGCTAGTCCACTCTTTCATCTACCTTCATGCTAGTCCACTCTTTCATCTACCTTTATGATAGTCCACTCCTGCATCCACCTTCATGCTAGTCCACTCTTTCATCCACCTTCATGCTAGTCCACTCTTTCATCTACCTTCATGCTAGTCCACTCTTTCATCTACCTTCATGCTAGTCCACTCTTTCATCTACCTTCATGCTAGTCCACTCCTGCATCCACCTTCATGCTTGTCCACTCTTTCATCTACCTTCATGCTAGTCCACTCTTGCATCTACCTTCATGCTAGTCCACTCTTTCATCTACCTTCATGCTAGTCCACTCTTTCATCTACCTTCATGCTAGTCCACTCCTGCATCCACCTTCATGCTAGTCTAATCCTGCATCCACCTTTATGCTAGTCCACTCTTTCATCCACCTTCATGCTAGTCCACTCTTTCATCTACCTTCATGCTAGTCCACTCTTTCATCTACCTTCATGCTAGTCCACTCCTGCATCTACCTTCATGCTAGTCCACTCTTTCATCTACCTTCATGCTAGTCCACTCTTGCATCCACCTTCATGCTAGTCCACTCTTGCATCCACCTTCATGCTAGTCCACTCTTGCATCCACCTTCATGCTAGTCCACTCTTGCATCCACCTTCATGCTAGTCCACTCTTCATGCATCCACTCTTTCATGCTAGTCCACTCTTTCATCTACTGCAGTCCACCTTCATACCTTCATGCTAATCCACTCTTTCATCTACCTTCATGCTAGTCCACTCTTTCATCTACCTTCATGCTAGTCCACTCTTTCATCTACCTTCATGCTAGTCCACTCCTGCATCCACCTTCATGCTAGTCCACTCTTGTCATCCACCTTCATGCTAGTCCACTCCTGCATCCACCTTCATTCTAGTCCACTCTTGTATCCACCTTCATGCTAGTCCACTCTTTCATCTACCTTCATGCTAGTCCACTCCTGCATCTACCTTCATGCTAGTCCACTCTTTCATCTACCTTCATGCTAGTCCACTCCTGCATCCAACTTCATGCTAGTCCACTCTTTCATCTACCTTCATGCTAGTCCACTCCTACATCTACCTTCATGCTAGTCCACTCCTGCATCCACCTTCATGCTAGTCCACTCTTTCATCTACCTTCATGCTAGTCCACTCCTGCATCCACCTTCATGCTAGTCCACTCTTTTATCTACCTTCATGCTAGTCCACTCCTGCATCCACCTTCATGCTAGTCCACTCCTGCATCTACCTTCATGCTAGTCCACTCTTTCATCTACTTTCATTCTAGTCCACTCTTGTATCTACCTTCATGCTAGTCCACTCCTGCATCTACCTTCATGCTAGTCCACTCCTGCATCTACCTTCATGCTAGTCCACTCCTGCATCCACCTTCTCGCTAGTCCACTCCTGCATCCACCTTCATGCTAGTCCTCTCTTGCATCTACCTTCATGCTAGTCCACTCCTGCATCCACCTTCATGCTAGTCCACTCCTGCATCCACCTTCATGCTAGTCCACTCTTGCATCTTCTTTCAGGAACAATGCCCTTCATTATAATTCTTCCCATACCACTGTGGTAGTAAGTTAACATGGCTGAAGTATGGGCGGTTTGTTCTATAGTTTTTTCCCAATACTTAGAAGACTGGAGGGAAGAAAAAAAGTAATGAGTAGCTTGCAACCCAGTTTCTCCTAATGTGACCAAACCAAATATTTGTCTTTTCTCTTAGATTCTTTCTCTGTCATTATCTCTGATTCTGCTGAAGGTTTCGGTCATGAAGCGTAGTATCTGTAGCTCTATTTATCAGAGATAGTATGTCATAGTTGTTGTGCCTGCTGTCTGTCACTCAACCACTGACTGCTGATCCAACACCTGTGGTCAGATGCAAGAATGTAGATGCTCTCATGATGGCCAGACTGAAACTCTTCAAGGACACGCTAAAGTTATCACTTAAACTTCAGTATAAACCCTGACACCGGGCAGGCTGTTGCACATGGCAGCACTGTATGAAGAACAACAATCTCAACCGGAGTGGCTACTTGCGAATATGTCCAAAAAGGGCAGGTGAACAGCGAAGACAAGCTAAAAATACGTGTATAAAAGGTCCTTTACCTACAGACACTGTTTCCTGCCCCCTCTGTCTAGGATCCTTCTGGCCCTGTATTGGGCTTATGAGTCAGCTCTGGACTCAGCTGTTATTTCTTTACAGATACAAGAAGGAGTGGTCATTATCACTTGTCATAGACAAACAACAACAATCATCCAACAGCAATCAAGGAGGATTTACCTTACATTTTCTGCTTTAGTGGATACCCATCACCATTGGGTTCTGAAAACATCTTTATGGTTTCATTAGCTTCAATATCCTCTGGCAGTTCAGTTCAGATCCCCCTGTTTCAGATATGATTCTTGTTTTAGCTTAGTATACTTCTTTCTTGTTCTTCTTCTTCTTCTTTTTTTTTTTTAAATGTTATTGTTAACCACTGTGTTACTTTTTTGTTTAGAGCCTTCTAGTCATATTTTTTTTCTTCAAAAAAAAAAGGGAAATATTTGTTAACATGTGTGATAGCACAAATTAAAGTATTTCTGGATGGCATTATGTAAGCTTCCACCACATTTCAGATATGATCAAGAACTTGATGTGTTCAAAAACCGTGTTTTGGAGTCATTAACATCTTCCAAGGACAGACTTCTTCAACCACCAAGTCTAGACGATCCCTTTGCACTCAGGTAGCATTTAAAATACATGTATAGCGTTGTTCTTTCTCCACAAATCTTTTTTTTTTTTTTAAATAATACTGTGATAATATTGATTTTCCAATACCTCTAGATATTGTTAATTTTTTCATTAATTTTCAAGACTAAGATACTTTTGTTTCAATTACTCCTGTCATATACAATACTTTTGATTCAGTTACTCCTGTCATATAAAATACTTTTGATTCAGTTACTCCTGACATATAAAATACTTTTGATTCAGTTACTCCTGTCATATAAAATACTTTTGATTCAGTTACTCCTGTCATATAAATTATGTTTGATTCAATTACTCCTGTCATATAAAATACTTTTGTTTCAATTACTCCTGTCATATAAAATACTTTTGTTTCAATTACTCTTGTCATATAAAATATGTTTGATTTAGTTACTCCTGTCATATAAAATACTTTTGATTCAGTTACTCCTGTCATATAAAATACTTTTGATTCAGTTACTCCTATCATATAAAATACTTTTGATTCAGTTACTCCTGTTATATAAGATACTTTTGATTCAGTTATTCCTGTCATATAAAATATGTTTTATTCAGTTACTCCTGTCATATAAAATACTTTTGATTCAGTTACTCCTGTCATCTTTAAAAAGTGAAGAGTGCACCAAAACCAGAGTGTTTAGCTTCCTTAAAACACTTGGTTTGTTCTGCTTCAGGACTCCTGAAGTATCAGATGTACAGGTTAAATATATATCCTCTACCTGCTCCACCACCTTACAGAGGACTACCTTAGGTTCGAATCATTGGTAAGGTTATGGCAAATGCTAACCTTCACAGTTCAGTGTGACTACACCAGCTATGCAGCACTACTAACTCCTCAGGCTCAGAAACTCACTGGCCTACATCATCTTTAAAACTGGACATACTGGCAGATAAAGGAGCTAATTTATTGTCCGACTTTGTATAAATTAAAAGGCCCAAGATAACTGATCTATTCAAAGCCCCGGGGAAGAAATTGTTAGGAGAAAACTTCAGAGGAAATCATAACTATGCATGAACATAACATAGTTAATATTTTTCAGTTAAACAGGTTCCTTCCGGGTTGTCCTGCCTGCCTGCCTTTTTGGCTATCACCAAACTTGTGTTTGATTGCTGGGGTAGAACCCTATAAGATAATAAGGAAAAAAACGCATTTATTTAAAAAAAAAATGTATGTAGTTTATCCCATTTTTTTTTTTTTAAAGAACTGCAGGATACTGAGAATTGATTGTAGCCCATGATTATAGTTAACTAGTCAACAAGAAACAGAAGAATTCTTGGAAATGTGTTTTTACAGAACAGTGCTGAATATTTTTGGGAAATCCCTAAAAGAGCGATCTAAATGTTTCAAAAGAGGCTAGAACACAAAGACAACATATAACCACCGGAAACAGGCACAATTATTTTCTCCTTTATTATGAGCAGTTCTTCTTCTTCTTCTTCTTTTGTTTGCTTGAAATAAATCATTTATATCTACAATGCTGTCTCTAGAACAAACTTCATTGTCTTGTGTAATTCACTTAGCGCCTTGTAAAGTTTGGCTTCCACCAGTGTCTTCCTTGGCCAGAAGTTTTGTCTGGAAACGTATCTGGGACAGTCTTGGAGGATGTGATCTGTTGTCTCAGGTGCCAATCCACAGGTACACATAGCTGATTCACCAACCTTTAATCTTGTGTACATGTGGCTGCGAAGTCGATTGTGCCCTGTTCTAAAGTGTAGAATAATGACTTGCTCTGGTCTGTCCATAGTGTGGTAATCATCTTGTGCCAGTTTTAGTGGCATTCTGATTGATTTGATTATTCTCTTCTTCTGTTGATAAGAGACTAGTACATCAGGTTGTTCTTCAGTTGCACCTTCTTTAGATAGTTTGTCAACTCTTTCATTTCCGGAAACTCCACAGTGGGATAGTAACTACTGCATAACTAAGTAGCCTAGTTCACATAGCAGTGTCTCCACCTAATAATTATCTCGACTTGAGTGCCTGAAGTACCGCTTTTGCATCTGTCAGGAATAGCACTGGTTGTGAAATATATCCAATATTTAGTAGTTTCTCTGCTGCTATCTTGATTGCTTGAACTTTTACATCGTAGTTGTGACAGTGCTTTCCGGTTAGTATTTTGGCTGTATCCCTGGTATTATTAGGATGCTCAGTGTGCTGCTTCTGCTCCGTTTCTGACTTCATTTCTGTGTAAACACGAACCCCAAAGATTCTGCGGTTATTCATCAAAAAGTTGACTGAGGGTGGCTGTTTTACACTGACACTGTTTTGTTCTTCCTTGTCAAATACTCCTTTCACTTCTGTCTTGATGTTTATTGGAAAATTATACTCCTCTCTCCAGGGGTCCATTCTGGAACAGCATTTAAGGGGCTATCAGTTACAGGCAGATCAGTGGTTTTTCTGCAGAACCGTTTGGCCTGGTGGATGTAACTGCTTCTCTTTAGTTGCTCCATAGCTAGATTTGGGAACCAGATTTTTGAATCTTTTATTCATAGAGGGATTAGGCATGCTAAGAAACTTGTCTGCTTAGTGTTAGTATCTTAGTGTCTCTGCATTCACTCAGTGCTTGGGTTATCCCCATTTTCTTTATCACAGCTATAGGTGTTGATTTCATACTTTCTGTGGTAACATGTGCTTGATTTTGCACTTTGTCTAATTCTTTTAGTGTGGTTTTTTATGCTGGACTCCATGCTGTTGATCCGTATTCCAGGTGTGGTCAAACACTTGTTGATAAACTTTCCTTAGTATTGTTGATAAACTTTCCTTAGTATTTTCCTACTAGCACCTCACATGATTCCACTTAGTTTTCTCAGGATGGCTACCCTCCCTTTGGCTTTTGATGCTGCCTTTTTTATGTGTTTTCTCCCTGTTAACCCATTGCGAATCGAGACTCTGAGGTATGTGCTCTCCTTATCCTCTCTCAGAGGTACTCCGTTTATGTGGATGATGCCTGATTTTTGTTTTAGAGAGAGGATGAAGAGGGTGGTGCTACATTTACTTATGTTGTTGCTGACACACAATTCATCAGACCATGCAGCCATTACATCTATCGCTCTTTGTAGCAGTCTAGTGGCCATTGTTACATATTCATTTGTACACCTTAGTACTAAGACATCAGCATACATTGCAGCTATAATTCCATGGGGTAGTTCAGAAACTAGGTCATTGACATAGACTAGAAAGAATGTGGGGGACAGGACACCTCCTTGGTGGACGCTGTGGCGTAGTAAAACTTTCATACTCCATCTATCTGTACTCGGGGGTCTTCTCTTATACAAGTAAACTTTCACCCATTTGTACATATTCCCATTCACTTTGTAGTTTCTCAGTTTCTTCGTGAGACCTTCTTTCCAGACCTTGTCAAAGACTTTTCCTCAATTTCTTGCAAAAGGTAAGTTGTATGATCTTCTGTGGAGTAGCACTGTCTAAAGCCTGCCTGCTTTCCAAGTACCATTGGAGTCTAAGGTTGACAATGTGTTCCATTGTCCAAAAACGTCTGGCGTCACCATTTCTAAACCGTAAGTCATTGTGAACAGTGAAATGAGGAGTGAGAAGCAACAGTAAAATTCGTAATCTGTTTCAATTACCATTGATCACTGGCATTATGAGCAGTAGTAGACCGAAATAGCTGGGGCAGAATGACAGGTGACAGAGGTAAAAACTCTGCATACAAGGAAATTGAGTGGCTCTATACCATGAAGATGGTGGAGAAGTAATTCTCAGGCATGCCTTCAAACACTCAGAGTCACCAACTGGAAAGACAGGGCCAGTCACAGAGATGAATTGAGCCTGGTGATGACATATGCCTCAGTGAACCTTCATGGTTAGGAATGCTGATGAATAAGACAAACAAAGAAAAACAAACCTTGGTACCAGCAGGAACTACTTTCAGTAGTCAAGTGTTTCATTGATGTGATGTCTAATCAGTTCCCATTCATACAAACTTAGTGCCTGTAGAGTTTAGAATTCCTGAGCAATAGGTAGGTAGTCAGTATGGTGTCAGCTTGGCGTAACACAATGACAGTGAAAGCATGACTGTGATTACTGTTGCCTTTTAGATGCTTTAACCAGCATTACTGTTTGCACCTGTCTGTAGGTTCAGCCCTTGGAATGAAGCAGTGCACCCAGACACAAAGAGACAAATGATCCAATCATCTCAGGTATGACATAATCAGCATAATCATTTAGTTGAACTTGTCCAATGTTTGCCATCATCAATGTTTGCATTATGATCCTGTGTCTGGTGATGTTTGCTGCTGCCTCAGTTTATCAGCCTTCAAGCAATAGGTCAGCTGTTTCTGTTGTTTGCCTACTACATACCTTCAGCCACTGTCTAGTTATAAAATGGCAGTGAAACTGTATCATGTCCATAGACAGTTGTTTGACACTTTGGAATTAATTTCCCATTAAATATCGAGGAATTGTAGGCAGTACAAGTGTAACATGTACATTAACTCTTTACAGACTATTGGCCACTTAAGTGGCTTTTGAATTCATCCCATTCGGACTATTGATCGCTGTATTTGCGCTTCATAGAGACACTATAATGTTGTTGTTTTTTTGCTGAGAAAATGAATTTGTCTGAACATGTTTTGAAAAAGCTAGAATTAGCTAAATGGAGTCCTTTCGTCATGGAACTTTAGTGTGCTTTTTTTTTTTTGAATAACTTTCTGATTTGTTTTAACTCTTTGAGTCCCAGGGGGTTTTGCATCAGAGGCCCAAGGGAGGGTAATATGATTTTGACTTTTAACAAATGCAGCACTTTAAAACAAACCACACAACTGCAGCTGAAGGATTAATATTAGCATACTGCTACAACAAACAATTATACCGTTAGTTAGTTAGTTAGTTAGTTAGTTGGGTTATCATTATTGCACTCCGGACATGACCATAGATGCTCAGATCCTCCCCTCAGTATGAACCCCAACGTCCGATGGCTAATAGTACCAGTTCTATGTTGATTAACAAGTCTTCTGACGTGTCCGGTGTGCGTCTCGTTTTTTGCTGTGCTGATCTTAATTCCCAAGTCTGCCATTCTGGCGAGTGATGTGGATTCACTGCCACCAAAGTCCTCTATCCTTCCCATTTCTCTGAGGGCATTGATAATATCAGCATGATCCATAGGCCGACCGTCGGTAGTGATAGCGGATCCAGCCAACCTGTCAGCTCTTTCATTTCCATCGACGCCTGCGTTTCCCGGAACAAAAATAAAGGTGACTCCACGCACAGTGGGCTTCTGAATTGATTCAAGCCATTGTCTTCGCACTGAACTTGCCTGAACCCTCCGGATCATACTCATTGAATCACTGAGTATACATATGCGGGTGTATTTTTGTGTTTCAAGCCAGGCAAACGCTTGTGTCACTGCCATCACCTCCGTTAGTTAGTATTTAGTAGAGAAAACAGTGACTTAGTTTGAGAGGTGAATAAATTATGAACAAGTTTTTCCACTTACCCAGAAGCTGATCCCAAAATTCTTGATAATAAATATCCAAAATGCATCACAAAGGAAGGTACACCACTTATAAGAATGCACAGCCAATATTAAAGCAAAATTTGCAATAGTTGTTGTTCCATAGCAATTTTAATAACTACCATAACACATCAAAATAATTTCTCCAGTGGCACAAACAGTGACTTTTCTAAAAATAATTGAATTCCTCACATAGAAAAAACTGTAAAGGCACTGTAAACATGTCAACTTGTTCATAGATATATATCTATGGTTTTAGATGATATGGATAGTAGTACTAGAAGTGCTGACATTTGGACTAACTGGTGTCGTGTTACGAGGTGCTTCTCTTGTGTTGCCATGGCAGAATTAGTCAGATTTGTCCTCTTAGCAGGAGGTAAATTACGCACACATTCCTCATCAAAACTTGACTTGTCAGCGGTTTGGGGAAATTTTACGTCGCTACTATCATTATCCAACTCCACATTACTTTGATTGATCCACTTTTTATCAAATTTGATGCTTCTAAAGCAGTAAATTGCTTTGCTGGGCGTGAAGACGATGACTGATCGGACATATTGTTTTCAGACAATTGTTTGGTAACGTAGTAGACCACACAAATATCAATTTATAGCGTTAAAAACTCACCAGACACAAACGAATGCACTCCATGTGTGTTCGCTATACACTTGAGAACCAGAAAGGAAGTAACCAATTAGAGCGTGATGCGTTCCTTGGGACTCAAAGAGTTAAATTGTTTAGGTGCAAAACAATTTTTGCGTGATTTTTCTATACCAAATGATAAGAAAAAAAGATCTAGAATTGTACGTTCTACTATGTCTTTGATGAATCTCAATCGGATAGTGACAATAGTCGTTATACTGATAATGCCATGTGCCAAACCAATTGCCGATAATTAGGTTACGGTGAAGATTGAACAAAATATTTTCATTGGATCATCTCTGTTTCGATCAGCTGTTTTCCCGATTTCGCTTGTGAAATCTGACATGCCATACTACAATGTTCATAACATCCAAAGTATTTAAATTAAATGTTTCAAATAAAGACTTGCTGGTACATAATTAAACAGAGAAGGCACAATTATTCTTGAAAATGGATTGCATTGTTGTTGAACAAGTAAAACGTAAAGTAAGCACAACATTTTTTATGTAAATAATCTTCATATGAGTGTAACATCTTTGAATGTTGTGTGATTTAATCATATTTTGTTAATACTGACACTTAAATAGTTTAGATTTATTCTGCACTGATTTCTCTTTAATTTGATATATTATGTGTCCCTATACAGCAATACATTTTCTTCAGGAAAAAGTTGCAGTAAAGTAAATTCTGCTCACAATTAATGCTGTCCAAACCCCAGAAAAATGTAGTCCTGAAAGAGTTAATGATCTGTTATAGTCTGTAGTGACCTAGTGTTTTAGACACATATGTGAGGTATTTAAACCAAACTGAATCAATAAATTGTAACTCAAACTTTCCTAAGTCTAGTAATTTAACAGTTGGAGAACTCAAATATGCATACTTAGATGGTAATTAGTGAACAAGACATGCTCACTGAAGTTAGAATTTAAACCTCAGCTAAGTCACACATGTTTCCCACTTCATGTTCCATTTTGCAGTCCTTGGATGCTCATATCTTATCATTATAGGCACAGTATTTCTACTTATATGTTTTAGTGTATGTTTCCTTTTTAATGGAAGTAATAATAACTACTGAAAGATACAAGCTGAGGATAAACATATGTCATCAGTAATTAGAGTAGGAAGAAGCAAAACACACACATTTTATATTGAAAAATATGTATCCAGAAATATTTGACAGGCTTGAAGCCATTGAAATAAAATGTGTGAATAATCATTGAATATGCTTGAAGTTCAGGTCAGGTGATGTAATTGCAGTTTCAGCTTCATAACAAACAGGTCAACCCATAGTTGCTCCATTCCTGTGCCAATCAAAACTACACAGAATACCCACACTATTCCATGTGGAAACATTTACACAGACTGCAGTCTCAGCAAATCCAGTAGCATGCACAGACATTCAATGCATAAGACAGCTGTCAAAAGTGTCAACACACACAGTCTGACACTCAGTCAGTAGCATGTCCGTTGGCAAAACCTTCCTCCCACAACAACCCTCTGGAAAACTTCTCGATCAATAGCAAGATGTCCTATGTCTGATACACCAATCTGGATATCATCTGCCACCTGCTGCACCCATCTTCTCTTTGAGTCTGCCACTAGAAATGCTGTTATCATTGATGGGAGCAGCAGAACAATAGATCAGTAGGTGCATCTGCATTTTATGACATAAGGCACTATATTTCTGTGGCAACACGCCACTTGCCAATTTTCTGAATCTACACTTCACAACACAAACTACTCAGCTCAATGGGTGGACAACACAGCTATATGCTTTCAGTCTACATATGGAAAAAATGCAGTAGCCAACTTTTGTCACAAGTAAAAATATGCCACACACACACATATTGACCAGAAGTCTCTTGAAGGTAAATGTGTTTAAATCAAAATTAGTCAACCTCACTGATAGCACATCTGACAACTTTCTAGTTCACTTGTTTAAAACTCAACCACAAGTTGTGTTGGAAACACGCATCAGTATCATGTATTCGATATGTGCATGTACATTTCTATCATTCTAGTCTACTATAATAAATAATGCAGCTATAATGGACTGACAGTTTTTAGATAATTTCTTTACTCATCTTTTATTGCTTTACCCAGAGTAATGCTGTGCTAATTTCATGATCATTAAATAAACTGCATGTTCACATATACAGTTTTTACAAACATTTTGCATGGTGAATTGTTCTGCTTATATTTCTGTTTATTGTTGGTACCCAGAAATTATGTGTGAAACGCTTCACACTGAATGCAGTATAAATAAGTTGTCATAGTTAGTAACAAAATTGTGTGTGGAGTGTTTCATATCTGAGACATGTGACTATCCTTTTGTCAAGTTGCATACTGATATTTATGTTGATTCAAGTGTATTTTGTGTGTGTGGGGAGGGATTGGATCCACAGCATTTACACCTACTTTCCGCACCAGTTCAGTTTGATGCTTATCTAACATTTATGTTCATGTATCCCACAGATAGTTCACTGTAGTATAATTTAGACATGTACGGGTGTAACACTGGTGTATATTTAATATTTATGATTTTCTGTTTCCATTCATAGTTATGTACATTTAATCATTTATGTATTTTGGTTTAATGTATGTTCTTCCTTACTGAGCTTGGTGTTGATCATCATTTGTATCCATGGTCTTCTGTCTCATGTTGCCAACCATTTCTGAAACAAATGTTGTTTCGTGCCAGGGCATGTTCCTGTCTCTCATCCCCTCCAACTTGCTTGTCACATGTTTCAGTTGCCCTGTCACATGTTTCCGTTGCCTTGTCACATGTTTCTGTTGCCCTTTTCTCATGAAATGTCCAAAAAATGGGGATTGTCTAATTGCTGATGTAAGTAGTCAGTTTTCTTTGTGGGCTGCTTTTCTTTAAAGCATTTTTGTTTATCTATCTGTTAATGGTTTTGAAACCTTTCTTATTTGCAGCTACATCTCTACAACCTCCTAGTAATTCCAGACTCAACGCTGAATATCCATCTTTTATTTCCGTATACCTTCTTTTACTTTGCATAGCCCTTAAACCCTTTTGCTCTG